GCGGAGCGATGGCGGTTGCCGGTGTTCCCTGTACCGGTCGTTACGTCGTTACAGCGTGTGTATTTGGAATGAAGGATGACACCTGATGCCTTCTCAGTAGCGTTACCTCTTCCTTTTTTGCCCTCGCAGACTTCCACCTCAGCAAGGAACCCCCGCTGAGTTCGGGACGGCTGCTTCTGGCCATGGCCCAGGTTCGCAGGCAGATACAGTAGCCCTCCAAGTCACAGCAAACTTGGTGTACTTGAAACAGAATATACAGGCAAAACACTAGGGAAGAGTGCCTGGAGACCAGAAAGGCAGATGGTGGTGGAGAAGTCAGGGAGGCAGGGAAAAGAATGAGCTTGAGGAAAGAGCTGAGAATCCAGCAGGCTGCAGAGGAGGGGGTGAATATGGATTATCAACATCGTTCCTGCAGACCAGGATTTTCTGTATGCATGGGTTTTGAGCAGTCTCATTTGACTTGGATGACACTGCAATCATGAAGAAGTTGTTAGGGGAAAAAAAATACAATCCAGAAACTAAGGGACAATCTCAAAGCAATAGGAATACATTGGTTGTCTGAACCTGTGGCTGCAACCTTTTGGGTGCAGATTTCAGTTTTCAAAAGTGGAATGGAGGTTTGGGTTGATGACCTTGTCAGGAGCCGCTTCAAAAAATGATTCACTTGATTTTTGGAGCATAAAGTTTGCATAATATGTAAAGGAGCTGCAGTGTAGTTTAGAACTGCTCACCTGCTACTCCCTGAATTACAATGAACATTGTATAGCGTGCCCAGACTTTCAGGTCTGTCAGCTGTCGCTGTGCTGTACTGTACCACGTTACTGGGAGAGGGTTTGGTGGCCGTATAGATTTCCAGCAGTGGAATATCTGTGGAAGAACTCATTGATGCTAAACTTATTAAGACTCTAACAAGTTTTCATGCTTTGGGATAATCTTGTATCTGGATTTCACAGCTTGGGTACATAGACATGAGTTTTGCTGAACCAGGACTCAGAGGTCAGTTGCTATTTATGCAGGTAGTCCCCAGTGACTCTCCCAGGAACTGTGGGTTCTCAGTACATCTGAAATAGGACTGTTTGAATGTGGCACTTCGTTTGAAAAGTTTCCCTTGACTTTCTGAAAACACACTTGCTTCCCCAACAACTAATTTTCTTTCTCTACATTCATGGTCACTATGGAAGCCATCTTTCATTTTGATCTTCCTTGCACCTGGGATGGGTGTGAAAGAATCATGTAACTCAGTAGCGCTGTCTGCACCCCCTTGGACCCCATCCACTGCTACCATCCAAAGCAGCACTGTCTCATCTTCCCACAGCTACAAGCTGGATTTGTTTCAGCCCAAAGGTGGAACACACTGAGACCAAGTTGGCTTCTCTGCAGCTCTCCATGTTCCAGGTTTCTTGGGAATAAGGAGGTCAAAGTTTCTGCATTTGGGAGGGTACCGCAGGAGCAGTGCAGGTGTAGGGACCCTAAACCCATGGTCCGGGCTCCCGTGTAGCCCCATTGGGTCTGAAAAAAAATAGCAACTCCTTGTTTTGTGGGTGAGAGGAAGGGAATTCCACTGTAGCTCTGTCTTCAGCTGTTGAAACGTCATGGGAAAACCCTGGGCACACCCTCCCCCATGGCTGCCTGCAGGAGGACTTACCAGAGCTTCTGTGCCTCACCTTCGCCATCCAAACCAGTGCGAAGACGATGTTGATCTGTCACAGGGGAGCCTTTCCCGAGGCTAAATTTGAACATGTTTCAACAGCTTTTGGAAGTGCTCAGGCACAAAGCTCTGTTGATTGTCACACCTGTTATTGCACTTTTGTCAGCATGCTAAAAATCCACAAAAGTCTGGCTCGGCCTTCCTCATTCTACAGAAGGAAGCAAAAATGTGAGACTTTGTGGAAAGCAAAAAGAAAGCTGAGTAAGAAATATGTAATAGTACGCTTTCATTTTCCTTTTTACTTATAAAGATGGAGCATATTCTGTTCCTGTTCTCAAGGTGGCTGCTTGAGCCAGAATCCAGTTTTACACTACCTAGTAAAATATAGTGATGAGCTGAAACTGTGCCAGAGAACAGGCTGGTGACCTACATGCAAGCCAGTTCAAGGAAGGCAACTTCTCCACATTTCTTCTCCTTTTTGATGGCTGTCATTCTCACCACAGACTATACGTGGCAGAATTTGTCAGACTGAGTTTTAATGTCTTTCTGTGAATATTAGCAAGCTTTTAAACGTGTCCTTAGATTGAGGTTGTTAAGGTAATTGATTTTTTAACATGAGCAGAACACTGCTGTTTTTCCAGGTAGCACATGCAAAATCATGATATTTATTATAGGTCAGGGACTGATTCTTTTTCCCGAGCCACATGTTTGCCAGCTCTTGGAAATTACCACTTGAATCTCATATATGCATTGTTGTAGTCTTGTCTGAATAGCATTCCGGTATGTTAGATATTTATGGTGAGAATCAGTGGTTCATTTGAGGATCCCTAGCTGGAGTCTTGGATCTGAGATGGGCTCTAAAGCACAAGGACTTGGCCAGTTTTATGCTCGTGTCATCAGCTGGAGCAGTAGGTACTCAGAGCTCCTCTTGGCTTGAGCTTCCATTCACAGTGCTAAGGTGTAGCCAGGGACTTACATGCAGAGAAGTGGACATGGATCACCTCTTACCTCTTTCTCCACACCTCCATTTACATAACTTATTGCTACCATACTCAACCCCAAAACCACCTCCCTGTTGGCTGTCTGAAATCAAATTACAGTACAGCTATGCTACGAGGACCCACATGATGATCTGGTGTTGCCTTGATGCCTCTTTATTCATGTCAGTGTATATCCCTGGGCTTCTGACGAGGAAGTAGGTGGATGTAGTCTTGCTTTGTTTTCAGCTGTATCTTTTCCAGTCTAGCCAGGTGCTGGGGTATATAATATTTGAGTTTAATGCACTTCATACACTATGTATGGGTCCCGGAAGGTTTTGGTGGTTATCTCTTGCCTCACTCATAAATATGCCAAGCGTTAAATGGGACTCAGCAAGAAGCTCTGCAATTGCTAGGTAGTATTTAGCCGTCTGTTCACAATGCTTGCTTGTATTGTAGAGACATGCAAGACTTTTAATTCAAAATCATGGTGTAGTACATGTGCATACTTGGACTTAGGCAATTTAACCACTGAATGGTATGTAGCATTTGAAAAATAGAACCAAGACATGTCTGAGGTTCCATTTTGAAAAACTTTTCAGGAGAAGATGCAATTCTTCACTTTGAAGCAGGAATCTGAATTAATATGGAAGGACTGCTCCAGCCACCTTGCCCAACTCTGTGAAAAGTTGAGCTGCTTTGAGCTGAAAATGCCCTTATCAGTGGGAATTAAATTGTGCTTTGCCATTTCCAGGAGGTGTTTGGTTCTCGACAATGCTCACTCAGGCATTAGCAGAAAAAAAATAACGAGAGCAAAAGCGAGAAACGTTAACAGGTTACATATTACATGACTTTGTAACTGCCATACTGTGAAAAGAAAGAAGAGAAACTAGGATAGGATGGAAAAAATGGGGTAATTTGCTCTGTTCAGTTCAGCAGTTCCCACAAGAGGTGATTCCTTCTACTTAGTGAAAGGATGGGTATTTTATGATATATATACGTAGCAAGATTCAATGAGAGGTTGTGTAGGTAGTTGAAATACCTTGGCCACGCGTCAGCTTAGATGCCAAATTCAACAGAGCTTTGATTTTCTTTGCAGTGCTGTGCCATGTGGTAACACTAGTAGTACCGATGTTGCGGTAAATGTTGATGTCCTCGGGATATACCGACTTTACTTCCACTGTTAAACGTTACTCAAGCAAGCAGTTACCATCTCTGTGACTAGAAGTGCAGACTGCAGTAAACCCACAGCCCTGGGAGTAAAGGATGTGTATGTTAATCTTTATTTGACAGATCACGAAAACAAATACATAGCTTCTAATGGCGCTTGGCGGTTTGTTTTTCAAGTGTGCCTGGCCACTCCACGAAGGCACATTGCACCCTCTGATGATTTGGAAATGCTGCACAGTAGGATAACACGACCTATCCAGACCAGGATGCCTACTTACATACATGTAGATACATATGTAGAGACACTCTCATTTTTTAAAAGTTAGAAAATGCATTTTACTGCTCTCTTGGGTGTAAAGGACTTTCTTCTCTGAGGAAAGGTGTTTGAGTAATCGTTGTCCAAGTAGACTGACTTTTCTTTTAAAATTGAAAGTCATTTACATTAATAAGGTTTGGTGCTAGCATGTTTCACATATCCTCCTACACAGCCTACATTGTTTTTTACGTACATCTACCATAAAATTGGATAGCAGGTGTGAAAAGATTATAAAACATTACCAAAACTTTTTGATATTTATTGTATTTAACATTATCAAAAGAGGCTGAGTTCTGGTACTGTGTGAATGATGTCTACAACAGTTGCAAGTAGTACGATCACTGCTTTTCCATCCTTCCTTAATGATGTCCTGGTGATTCACTACATCTTTCTGTGAAACTTCTGCATGGTGTGGTATTTGTTTAGTTTCTATTTTGTGTGATCCTGTCAACAGAGGGTCCAATAGAAACATCGGCTTTTCTGCTTCTCTGCAATTCAGTTAGATTTTTTAAAAAATGCAGGCCAAATTAATTTTAGATGGCAGCAAAGGAGCAGTGACATAGCCTTTATAAACTAGCTGAAATGGAAAAGGGGTGAAGTCAACACAAGCTGAGTAGCGATTTCTGGTGTTTTCCCTGTGTTGCTTGGAGAAATACCAGGTTTTTTCCCTTTGCATTGCTGATGTTTATCAACTGTATTCTAACACGTGAAGCCCAAATTTTATTCTCTAGAAATTATCTATTCTATATGCAGTGATACTGTAGGTGGTTATAAAACCACCTACTGAGTTGTTTAAACCTAGATACACATTATTCCAGTAACGCTCACAGTTCTATATGGTGTGTATATTACTAGCTGTTTCAGCAGAGACAAAAAAAGAGAAGGTTTTAGAAAAACTATTCTTGTTTAAATCCATCTGGGTTAGCTTAGAGTGCAGCATAGACATACTAGTATATAGCTTGCATTGTGTGATAAAAGCTGAGAATCTGGTTAGACAAACACTGAAAATAATTGATTTTGACTCTTTGCATTTGTAAGCTTCAACTTTTTTCAAATGTACAGTGTTTTTTCCTACTTTGTCATTCTGAGCAGTACTGATTGGAAATACACAACATTTACATGTTTTTCAGACTTATGATGAAATAGTAAATTAAATATTTCCTGTGATTCCAACCAAAGTTGATGAGAGTTCTGCAATGGAATTACGTGGATGCTAGACTGGGATCTTAAATTCTGAGTGCAACAGCAAACTAGAACAGAGTTTATTATCTTTATCAAGAGAATCTATAGCTTATTCTACCTAATTTGGGAAATAAATGTGTTATAGATGACACAGAGATTTTTTAAAACCTTGCTCTAGTACCACTTCAGTATTATATAAATTAGTTATACATTTAATTTGTCTGCATCCAAATAAGAACATCCAGCTTAGTGAAATCACCAGGAGGTTTGGCCAGTAAATGATTAAAACGAGAGAATAACTTAAAATAGCATATCCCCTGACCCTCGGGAGCTGCCCATATATGTACTTCTGGCTCGCCTCCGTTGTTGGCATCCTTGGCTTAAGCCACCGCTAGTGACATTGCTTTGAAGATGGGACATATGGAGAGCATCTCCAGATGGTTACTAGTGCTCAGGAGATGAAAGCACAGTACTTTCAAATATGCACCCTGAGTGATTAAAAAGATCTTTTCCCCTGGCTGGGAGTTTTGACCTCATTCTAGCTTAGTTTCTGACCCACAGATTAAAACCTTTACAGTGTCAGCAAGATCCCGTTTTTCTGGGGTTCGGCATGTGTCTGTACTCTAGTAATCCAGTGTAACTGGATATTGCTTTACTGTTTCTTTTTTATTGTAGCAACTTGTAGCAGCGATGTGAGATGGGTAGAATGGCGATGTGCATGTGTGCCTGTGCATTTGTGCGTGTGAGAGAGAGAGGGGTAAAAGAAACACCCAAGGAGACAGCAGAGCAAGAACAGATCGTCAAGAGCACCGTTCCCAGTCGATCAAACTGGGGAACGTGGTGTTTCTGTCAAGCCCTGAAGACCCACACTCAAGTATGCCCACAGCGCAGAAGAGTCCTTAGCAGATGACTCTGCTCGTCAGCCACAGTGGGGTGGCATCAAGGTTGCAGCAGATCACGTACACCAGCCCTTCCAGCAGCGGGGAGAGAACAGCAGAAGTTCACCTCTGTAAAAGGCACGTCCAAATGTTAGCTCAGCATTGCCAAGTTAGAAGAAGCAGAGACATGATGAAAAGAAAGCTGGCGTCTCCTGTCCCCTGTGTTGCACACAAATGGTAGTGGCCAGAGGGAGGACCGCATGCATCGTGGTGCTTCTGTATGTGCGGGTGTGAGGCTGTGAGCGAACGACATTGATGGAGAATGAGTGCAGGCATGTAAAATCGGCTTGTTTAGCGATTTCAAGTTACAAAATCACTTACTCTTTCAGAAGATCTCACGCTTAGTTTTGTTTATCCTGATTTCTCCGTGCCGTGGCAGCAGCAATCTTGAAATCTTCTTTCTTTTGCAGGATTGTGGTGCCTTTCGTGAAAACCTGTCTCATGGTCTTGCCTTCAGTGCGAACTGTATGGAAGAGCCTGACTGATGTTTTCGTCGTGCCATTCTTTCAGAGCGTAGGCCGATGCTTTGCCATGGTTAATATACGCCTGGACCAAGAGTAAACGTCAGGGATGCGACACTGCTGTAATCGTAGCTGGTGTTACACGTCTTTGCTAACTTAACATACAAGCACTTACCATTCATTCCAAACTGTTAAATTACAATGGCTGGTTTAGTGGGAACACGTTATTTTTTCTAAAACTCAGTTGTTTTCAGGGAGATCAGTTTAAGAGTAAGTAGGCGGTTTTCATAGCGCACTATTTTAACAACAGTGCGTACGCAGAGTATGTTGGCAACACTTTATTTTAATGGTACGTCGATTGCTAGATTGCAGGAGAATTCCCATGGAGGTTTAACAGCCACCGCAGTGATAATGATTGGCGTTATTGCTATAAATGTTTAAATAGGCTGTGATACCTTAGGTGAAACTGATCTCTGGGGTTTCCCATTGACTTTACTGTGAGTCCACCAGGGATCATTTTTGGCCCTCGCTATGCAAAATGATCAACTCAGTTCTTTATTGTCAGGAGTTAAAATGAGCGTGACTCACTGCGTAAGCATTCAGAGAAAGGAACTGTTGTGCAATTGTCCTGTATTGGGGAGGAAAAGCTCCCTGGAAGTTTATCCCTTAAAATAAGGTGTTAGCTAATGCTTTGGAACATCAGCTAATCTGTATATTTTATTTAATGAGAGGTTAACTTTCCTGTATATTTTGTACCTTTGTAAATGGCTTCTGATTCGTTTTCTTTGAAGCATTGTTTCTATAGTATTTGAATTCTAACGAACTTACTAGGCAGCAAGAGTGAGATTGCAAAAAATTACTTCAGGTAACTAAAATGTCAGTTTCTAAATTATGTAGATTTTTAATTGTTGCCGTGCAATTATGGTATATTCATTATATGTGGTTGCGTGTAAAAGCAAAGATTATAAGTGTTTTCATACAAGACTATGCAAGAGTTGGAAATATCTGTTTGTGAGAAGTGTTTTTTATTAAAAATGGGGTGTAGTAAATGCAACCCTGTCTATTTGTATTATCTGTGTGACCATTGTGATATTTAAAATGACAGACACTATGCTGGCACTTTAACTAGGTAGCAAGCTCCTATAGAAGGCAAGTGAGTGTAATTAGTATCCTTGTCTAATTCTCCTCACCTCTTGCCTTGACTCTCCATGTTGCTTATTTGCTGCTTTAAAGCCTAACCCATTAAAAAGCCCTTCTTCCTTCTGCACCTAAGACGGCTTTATAAACCAGAATAACAGAATGTATGCAGAGGTACCTTAAAATTACATTAGCCTTCTGATGGGCTTATGCTGCTGTTTTCTTTGAATACAGATGATAAGTTGCAATTGTAAAATGTTTGTATGATTTAGAACGTTATTTTCTGAAATGATATTACAGATTTATTATTGAACAAGAGATATATAATAAAATAGTAAACCATCAGCTTTTTCCTATTTTCAACTTCATTTTTTTCAGGTTTTTCAACTTTTTAAAAAGCTCTTAAAATGCCGAACAGCATAGAATACTATGCAGTTCTTCCAAAAATGTGGGAGAGGGAAAAGAAATGGATGAGCATCAATACGGTTCCACTATCATCAACTGCATTGAACTTATTTATAGCAGAAAATGATGTATCTCTGTGTGATTAAGCCCATACAGAAGGAATGCTTTCTCTGCAGCAGGTCTCTTGGTGTGAACTTTTGGCTACATTCAAAAAAATGCTTAATTCTTTTTATGGGCACATGCTTTATTTACAGATGAGCTGCCGAATTTTCCTTTTCTTGCTTATTGGCCTACAGAAGCTAGCTGACACTGTATATTCTTTGTACATTGAGAACATCTTTGTACGTTAAAAATACTTTTAGCATTTGTGCCATTTATAGAGGGATTCATACGGCTTTTCAAAACTGGATCTTAATGATCAGTGCCCATCGAAACTTCTCTGGAGTTTTTTTCTTCTGCAAGAAGTTAGCTCACTGTTCAGGTGTGCTCTTCAAGATACCTTTCTTATGTTAAAAGTGGAAATAACTCTTTTGAAAATAAAAATTGGTCAGGCTAGGTTTGAGTTCTTTTGAGAGTTATTTTGTTTTACAATGTCTGAGGATTTTTACAAAGATAATTCCATGGAAAAATATCCCCTTGATGAATTAATTAAAAAAAAAAAAAACATCAATCAGTATTAGTCCTTGTGTCTGAAAGGAGCCTTATAAAAGCCTAAGATTTGAGGGAACTCAGGTCTGGATCCAAACTTTGAGAATGAGGCCATTCCCTGGAGAAAAAGGTGTCATTTTCAGTCATGCACTCCTGGATACATGCATTCTTAAACAGCTTAGTGAAGTCATCTGGCTCTAGGTACCACAGGCAATCAAGTAGAATGGTTTGGTTGGTTCTTATTTTGATTTATGCTTGTCATTAATTAGTCCTTTTCACCATTTCTCTAGCTGTTACAAGACTCACGTGAGCTTGTAGTTAAGTAATTAAAGCTGTTAGCTGCTTACATACTTTACAGCAGCATCTTTCTCTGCAGCAGATGTGCTTTTGCTATAAGGAAAGACTAAATGGCCTGTTAGGGTAAAATATTACAGGTTTAGCAAATAACGCTTGCTTCATCCATGAAAGGAGTGGAGGGAAGCATAAATATACCCAGACTCTCAAATACTTATGGGTGAATCTGCCTTGTGCAACTCTGGCTGGCAAATATTCTGTGGATTTTATGGATTTGACAGTTCCAGCCAACATCCGGAATCTCTGCCGCGGCTGATGCTGTCAATAGCTGACTGCACTGCTGGGCAACAGGGACTGAATGGGCACTGGCATGGAACTGTGATCTTCAGTGTAGGGGTAGGTTCCTTAAGTTTGTCTCCAGTTCATTTGAAATGTGGACAAACCATCCCAGCTGATCCCTTAACAGCAACTTACAAATTCGAATTTAAGCAAGAAGGGGAGTCCAGAATGCGTCTTCTTCCCCTCTATGGAATGGGGAGAATGTTATTGCTCTTAACAGGAGTAGACTCTCCATCATCATGGTAGAGTTATGAGGATAAATAACTAAAAAGTATGAGATGTTCCAATTCCAGCCTGCTTCTTGTTATTGCAGACCTTAGATTTATAATCATGAGCTGAAGATTCAGTTCTGTCACGCAAAATATTTCAGAATCTTGTTTTTCATGAAGATCACAACTAACATACAGAACTAACCCTGGATTTGTGGTTATGGACACATTTTAATTCACAAATAAATTTATCTTGCCTCGTTATGAGAGGTATTTTGTAAAATCCTTCTAATCTGACTCTAGAATGTTTATATTTTTATCTTACCTTTCCCCACCCTACTTGTTCACGATATAAACGGGAATAAATTCTGAACAGAAATGTTGACATATTTAGTAGATGAGGAGCCTTTTCCCACCTATTCAAAAAGCTCACTTAGGCATGCACTGTCTGAAAAGTCCAGAACATCCCTGCAGCTTTGGAACCTCAGACCACACACTCATACTTAGTGGAAGCCAAGGAATGGCAAGCCCATTATTTTTACAGGGTGTGATCGTTCCCCCACCTGCAGAGATAAAACTATTGCTGTTAAGCTGTATTAACTCTCTTTTAAAAATATGTGGAAAAATACATGTGAGGTTTTTTAAAAAAAGAAATGCAAATGAAACAAGGTCAAACACCAGACGTGCTACCAGCACTGTCTGTTAGTACCCTGTGCTCGTGAAAACTAGAGCTGAAGACCTCCAGTGAGTATACTGAACCAGAAGTTATGCACTGCAAACTGAGGTGCTTTCTTCTTGCAGGGATTTACAACTGAGGGCAGAATTAATAAAGGCTAATTTTAGCCTGGTGACACTAATTTTCCTAAGTTTATTGCAACAAAAAGAAAATATCTTCTGTAGAGTCAATTCAGAGGAGCTGAGAGAGATAGGCTCCTGCTATGAATCATCCTCCACAGCAGACTCTCTGCGCTGGTTAATGCAAAACATTTGGCTCGTTTTGGCTTGGCTTCTTTCCTCTGCTACATAAAAAGTTAGATTTGCTGCAGAAGTTGGGCAGGCCTATGGAAGGAACTAGAGCTTCGTGTAAGCAGTGGGGCAGGTTCTTCTCTACACGCTTCTCTCACAATTTGAGGCCAGGGGTGAGTGTCACCTGTGTTAGGTGTTTGGGTTTGTCCGTTGTCTGGCTTCCCCCTCCAGCTGCAAGCAGGAGAAAGAAGGACTCCTCCACAAGGCACTGAATCGGATCCTACTTTAGATACTTAAACGGAATAAAATGTAGAGATTCACACTTTTGTGTCAAATTTTGAGGAAAGATTTTCTATTTCTCCAATTGCCTCAGTTTCGTAAGAGCTGCTTTTTCATGCCATGTACCTACCTCATCTTGCTTTTTACTTTACACTATCACGACTATCACAATGCTACAACTGCAAGCTAGGACTGTCCATGAAACACTTAGACAGCAAAGCTTCGTGACAAAACGTCCCATCCTACCTAAGTCTCAAGGAGCGGGTGTTTAAGTCTCGTTAATGAGACTAGTTCTCACGGTCTGATATTTCTATAAGACACCGGAACAGTTAATAATATGCTAGAACTGGCAGAATGGTACAGAACAGTGTTGACATTGATCAGCGTTCATAGTCCAGCTCAGTATTTGTTAAGGAGTTTGATATTGAAAAGGATTGAGAAAAGAGTGACTTGATTTGCGCAAGGTCTGGCAGAATCAAAGCTTTTCAGTGTATTTGCCTCTCCAGCCAAGGTGGTTACAAGCTATCTTGATCGAGACCTACAGGGACCAGCTCTAATAAAAGACGTACGCACCTACCGCAGGACTGAGATGAGAGTCAGGCATTTAAATCCAAAATTGCAGTCCCTGCCCAGCTGCCACCCAACCAGGAACATGTCTAAACTGAGATGGCACCTCCCTTTCACATAACCTCCCCTCAGTACCTACAGTTTTACTTTGGTCATGCCCGGAACTGTCCTTGTCTGAGCAGCTTGGCATCTTACTCGCATCTAAACCCAGCCAGAATCGCAAAAGAAGGGAGGAGATTGCCTAGGACCTCTCAAA